TCCATAAAGTCTTACCAAACATTTCTCTGGTTAAAAAATGTTATCTTCAAAGATTCACTTTTCTGTCTCTCTCCACCTTTTTGATTTCTGACAAAGGGGGAGAAAGTAAAATAAATTTGATAATGTCTAAGATCGGAATATTAAACTCAAACATATAAAAAATTGTTGCTACTAACTGTTTGTTTGTTGTTTCAATCCAGGAACTCTAAAAAAGTTCATTGAGTTTATTCTAAGACATGTTGAAGATGAAGATCCTGATGCAAAGGTTGAAAACCTTATGAATTGAATCAACTCTGATTTTATATCTAAGAAGTTGTACACTTTGTGAATATATGAATATTCAAACAGATGTACCAAACACAATTCAGAAGTTATAAACTTACTGAAAGTAAGGTAATCTTTCTTGATATCATAGTGTTCATAAGTTGCTAACTTTCTGAAAGTATGGAATTCAGACTTAAAGCTTCAGAAGTTGTGCTCTCCTAAAAGGAAGACAAGTCAACATTCTGATGCATGCTCAAATACAGAGATGCCACTCATAAGTTATGCTCTGATACATGTGCTTCTGCAATGTACACTTTATTCAGAAGTTATGAACTGTCTGAATGTCTGGTACTTTGGAAAATATCAGATCAAACGCTGATGCTTGAGAAGTATAGTGTTTTGGTTGTGATATCATAATCAAGGAACATAAGTGTTGATACATGATGCATGGCATTATTCAATCAGGCTCAAAATCAAAGTTTTGATTCTTCATCAAGTGTTGATAGAAACCAGATTCTGAGATGAAGACCGAGTGTTCTAGTTAGACTCTGATGAGTTATTGTAGGGAAGTGTTACTTCTCTATTCTTATATTTTGAATACTCAAAATTTATTTTGTGAGTCTTGGGTTTATGGGGAGACTTTGAATAAGCTTAAAGGAAATTTTGGTTTAACAGGTTCAGGGGGAGCTGTGAGCTTAACTCTGAATTTGTTGGTTACGGTGATTACCCTGTATAAATTGTCCTATCAAAATACATGGTTTGTCATCATCAAAAAGGGGGAGATTGTAAAAACAAGAAGTGTTTCTACATCTGGCCTTAGATTTTGATGATAACTTTACATGTTATAATAGTGAACAATTCTATACACTAATGGTTTCGTTCTAGTGTGTAGTTGCTGCTATAATATTCTGACTCTGATATGAGGCGTGTGACATCATCAGGTTTTGAACACACACTATTGGAAGAAAACATGTGGTTACGTGTTACAGTTTAAGTCAAGATTCCGGAATCTATCTTCTGCAATGTGTCTAAGGAATGTTAGTACAAGAGGTTTTGATCGTGACTTTGTGGTTAAGCTTTGGAGGCCTTCTAAAGCTTTACTTCTATGTGTGACAAGTTTTGAAGATTATGAAGACAATGCTCTGCTGAACAGGTTATGATGATCTGAAGAAAGTCAACTTTTTACAACCAAGTGTTGAAGACTCTGAAGACAACATTCTGATGAGACAAGCTCTGAAGACTTCGAGACTTAGTTTTTAATACTTAAGAAAGATTCTTCTACAACAAGCTTCAATGGTCAACATTCAAATATCTGAAGCCTCTAAAGATAAGAAGAAAGTTCAAAATGGTTAATGTGTAATGGTGTACAAAAGGTACATAAAGTGTATGTGACCTCTACTCTTCTAGAGTGGCGCAAGGATAATCCTTTCATACTTTATTGTGACCACTCTCGTTATTACCATTGAGAACCAACAACTGTATTTCCTATTACCTTTCTACCCTTTTAACAAATCTCTTTTACAAGCTATAAAAGGAATACTTGGAAGCTGAAGAAAAGTAAGAATCAACATTACAACGACAAATCTATCGTATTAAATCAAGCTCAACAAAACTACACTAAAGCATTATGTAAACTCTGTAGATAAATCATTTGTGTATAGTTTTGCAAATATGCAAGGAGTTGTTGCTCGTATCTTGCAGTAGAACACTTAGGTGTTTTTATTTATACTGAAATGTATGTATAATCTGCTTAACAAGAAGCAAATCTGTAATACACTGAAATTACTCAACCGTTGTTGATTGATACCTTGAGAGACCGTGTGAAGGTCTGATCTCAAGAAGACTCTTGTTGTGGCTTGAGTGGATTTTCAATAAGGATCGACAAACTTATTGGGGGTGCCAATAGGGTTGATCTGACTTATTGTGGGTTGTTTGTAATCAATTTGGTTATAGCAGATTAAGTCCTTGTTGAAGGAGAAATCATCCTTGAGGAGGTGGACTGGAGTAACTTAGTTAACAGCGAACCAGGATAAAAATAACTATGTCATTTATTTTTATGTTCTAAGTTTACTTAGTTCTGTCACCAACGAAAAGATTTATTTTGGTGAAACCCAATTCAAACTCCATCTTTCTTGTGTTTCTCACATCTTCACATTGGACATGGAAGACTAGTATGTAAATTTAATATTTCTTTGTATGGTTTAAATTATTCTCCAAGGCAATGTACAAGCACTTTGATTCATACATGCTTAAGATTTGAATATAAAATATGTGAGTATGACTGTTGTGTTTATGTTAGGAACCTTGATGATGGCTCTTTAAGTTTCCTGTTATTGTATGTCGATTATATGTTGATTGCTTATAATCATTTACACTATGTAAATGAATTGAAAATCGTGTTAGTTAAGGAGTTTGACGTGGAAGACTTAGGAGTTTCTAAGAAGATTGTTGGTATGGAAATTCACAGAGATATGAGTGCTAGAAAATTATGGTTCTCTCAATAAAACTATTTTAAAAAGGTGATAGACAAGTTTGACATGAGTATTTTGAAGGTTGTGAGTACTCCATTAGTAAATCACTTTAAACTCCCATTATATTAGTGTTTAAAGACAAATGTAGAAACTGAGTATATGTCAAAGGTCTCTTATGCAGTATTGTTGGTTGTTTAATGTATGTTATGGTCTGCACTTGACCAAATTTGACACAAGTTGTAAGTCAAGTTTGTAAGTCTATGTCTAAACCAAGAAAGCGTCATTGGGAAGCAGTCAAGTGGATTCTCAAATACTTGAAGAGTATTATGAGTTATGGTATCATGTTTAGTAGTGAACTGGGTGATCCTTTAGTTGTAAGATATGTGGATTTAAACTATGTTGGTGATATGGATGATAATAGGTTTGCAATAAGTTATGTCTTTACTTTAATAGGAAGATATATTTGTTGGAAGTAATTGGTTCAAAATTTAATGGCCATATCGACAACCGAAGTAGAGTACATAACGACGGGTGAAGTTTTCAAAGAAGCCTTGTGGCTTACATGATTGGTGAGATAATTGGATGTTTAGCAAGGTGGAGTTCAGTTGCATAGTGATATTCAAAGTGCCATTTATTTGGAAATAATCAGGTGTATCATGCCAGAACTAAGCATATTGATGTGGGGTTTGACAAGATCGGTGAGTTACTTGCATCTGGACAAATATCACTTGAAAATGTTCATACTTTAGATAATGCAGTTGATATGTTAATCAAATCAGTCATTAGGGACAAGTTCAGACATTGCTTAGACTTGATACACATTTCTCAATGTTAAGAAGGAAATATACCTTCCCAATTACCAGAGTGACTCGTTGTGCAAGAAATCTTCATATAGTTTGATATTTGACAAGGTGGAGATCATTGAGTATGACTCATATTATGGAGATTATCATAGGTATTATTGAGTATAACTGATATTGTGGAGATTATTATGAGTAGAAGTGATTGTTTGTTGTTGGTAACTAAGGATTAGACTTTAGATAAACTCAATTAGGATTATAGTGTTCAAACATTGCTTTATATATATATATATATATATATATATATATATATATATATATATCTTGCAAGAGTGGAATTATAGCTACTCCATAATCGTAGAGGTATAAGTGTTATAATTATTCAAGAAATTAATAATCCTAAACCCTAAAATTGTCTTCTTCCAATAATAACAAGACACATTACAAGTGAGTAAATGAGCCTTCAATGTATAGGAAATAGTCTCACATTGAAAGTTTAACTTCCTTTAATTGGAGTAGTTGTTACTTCAGATTATTATTTATTTGAATTCGAATAGTTACAATACTTAGTGCGAAAAATTGTAATATTTGAGAAAAAGATGTGTTTTATTAAGGGTCACAACTTTGTTGAGCACACCATTCAGTTTATATATAGATAGATTCAGATTTTAAAATGTAAATATACAATCAAACTCTTCTCTTCGTTGTTTAAATTTTAGATTTCTCTCTTTTCCACATTCGAGTTTTCATTTGTTTTGTGCAATATCAAAACATGGTGAATTATTTTGAACATTCTTGCGTGTAGATTATAAGACAATTTAGAGAGTGTTTGAAATATTATTAGAAAAATATTCATATGCACGATTCTAACTTTGATCCATTTAACTTAGAATCAATTTCTAATAGTAAATATTATTGACCGAATTGCGTATACAGAAATCAATTGTGTTTATTGTCTTTTCCTTTCGTTTATCTTTAATCTTCCCCTTGGAGACCCATAATGGACCTAGCATTGAGACCAAAACTGGCTGGAAATTCAAATCATCTCAGAATTGTGCGCCACCTGACCCATCACAAGTTTAATTCAAATTTAATGAAAATTGCAGAGACACGTTACAATAAATAAAAATGCCAAAACGAATTTGAATCTCATAGAAAAATGCCACTCTGTTCTATGCACATTTTTCTCTGACAGTTGCTATTGAGGTTGCTCTGTCTCATTCACTCACCTACTTTCATTTTCTTTGACCCAATTCAACAATACCACTGCATTTCACTCCAATCCCCAAAACAATGCAACACATTGCTAGTACTTACCAATGCAGTGATAGTGGTAGTGTAGTTTTGCTTCATTATAGATCTGACCCATCTTCGAGAATCTAAAAATAAATAAAAAAACCATTTTGATTAATGGGTTTCGTTTCTTAGTGTGTTTGAAGAGTGTTCCTTATTCTGGGTCATCTTCATGGGATCCAATAATAGCAAAGCCACTTCCTCTACAACTTCTTCTTCTTCTGCTTCAAGAAATTTCAGGAAGAGGAGTCGCTCTAAGGCTCTCAGAGGGTTTCATTCTTATTGCCTTGGAACTAGTTCTGGATCTCAAGACAGTGATGATGAAGACCAGGTTGTTCCTTAATTTTCCCAGTGTTACTGTTTTTTTTACTTATGCTCATTTTATACTAGGATCATACTGCTAATGATTCTGATGTTACATTCTGGTCCTATTCACTGTTTGATTAAGTTATATGTAAGACATTTTGTGGGTGCATGGGGCAGTTGTAAACTGGTTTGATGTTATATGGTTAGAATTCCAATTCTTAATGATATGATTCTTATGATATATATGTTTGATTTATAAGTAGAATTTTCAATGTTACTACTTCTATTACGAAGGAGTCGGTAACTATGTAACAGACACCTATGAAAAAATGTGTGTCTATGTTTTTGTTAGTGTCGTGTTTTTGGTATATGTGCTTCATAGGCAGGTAATTAAGGTTAGTTTAAATAATGCTTCTTTGTGTCTCTACCTCAATAGTAAATAAATTCTATGCTAAGTAAGTTAGTTGTCAAATAATCATTTGTACTATTTCAATATAACTGTTTTTTGTACTAATAGTAATGACAAATTTGTTTGTTTGTTTGGTACAATTTTATGTGGTCTTAATTGTAAACTCATGATGTAGGTCTGTGATAGTAATAAAGTAGATGGCAGTGTTGTTACATATGCTGATGGCAATCTATCAGACTCAGATGCGGTGAAGTCGAAATCTCTAAGAAAGGTTAAAGCTGGTGACAGTGAGAATACTTGTATGCCTAACATCAATCTTGGTGAGTGGAGTGAAACAAGGATCCGCGACACTTCATCTGGAAGTCGCACCAGCTCTGTGCACGCTTCTGCAACTTATTCGTTGAATCCAACAAGTCGATTCCTCTCTCGACTTAGGAGATTTACTAGTTCAAGGTCATCAAGGCCTTGTCCGGTTTCGTCTCCAAGTTTTTCAATATTTGACAATGAGGATGATGCATCAGGATCAGGTTTGCCTTGTTGCAACATGCAGAGAAATCCTAGTTGTGGCATTGGTGCAAGTGACGAGTTGGATGTGAACTTGTTTTCTTCGAGAATTCAAGCAGAGATGGATACTATTGAGACTAGGCATATAGATCGACGAAATAGAGTTCGAGAACCAGTTGAACATAATGTTCGTTTTAGTCGAACTTTAAGTGTTGGAAGGCTTCGTGACAGAGTTCTTCGCCGATCAACATCATCTAACCTTACCTCATTCCCTCTACGACAAGAGAGAGAACTGAGAGATGATAGTCAGAATACTCGAAGGCAAACAGTGGAGCCAGATTCAAGAGTTTCACCATCAGATCAAAGTGCTGTTAGTTCTTCTACATCTAGTATGTCTAACTCCATGTTTAGCAATCAAAACTATGAAGTCGAGAGCTCACAATTGCAAGACGGTAGGTATCGGGATCTACTGGAGCATAGATTCAATTTCCTTGAACGAGGAAGAAGAATACAGTCACAGGCCCGTTCTCTTGAGCGATTAGGTAGCCGTTTTGAAAATCAATCTGCACATGGGAGATCATGTATCTTGTCTGGTCAACATAGAAGTGGTCGTTGTATGTGTCGATTTAGAAATCGTGACACGAATTCAAATGATGATTCTGGTGCTAGAGCTAGCATATCTAGAATTGTTGTTCTTGCAGAAGCTTTATTTGAGGTAACTTTATAAATTGTTTAAATGTTTTGATGAACGTCAATAATACATTTATACAATATGAATCTTTTTAATTAGGTTCTCGATGAAATCCACCAGCAATCTGTGGTTTTATCTTCCCATTCTTCTGCGTCTTCTCTTGGATGTGTTCCCGCACCTATCAATATCGTGGAGTCTTTGCCTGTCAAGTTATACGAGAAGTTGCCTAAGCATCAAGAAGATGCTACACAGTAAGTATTTCAGTTTGCCATCACTTGGTGTGTTGTTTATCAGAGTATGCATATACATATACTGTTATCATTGCTAACCCTTTAATTTCTCAGATGCTATATATGCCTTGTGGAGTATGAGGACGGAGACAGCGTGCGAATTCTTCCTTGCCATCATGAATTTCATAGAACATGTATAGACAAGTGGTTGAAAGAGATTCACAGGTAAGACTCTAGATATGCATACAAAAACACTTGTGAATATTATAGTCTCCGTTTGTATAACTGAAGTATTTCAAAATAAGAATTTGTATGTATCTAACCTCTTCTATGTATTGTACACAGGGTATGCCCGCTATGTCGGGGGAACATCTGCATTTCTGATTCAGGACTTTAGAGGCTTGTTGTTGATCAGCATCTTGTTTGAAATGCCTGATCTTAATATCAAACAAATTTACTTTTTATAAATAAACTACCGATTATCAAAGGCCAGTTTGGCCATCCAAATGTATCATTATCATCATTTGATAATAATGATGACTTCAACAACGTAATAAGGGCGTCCTTCTAACCGAATAATCACGGTCTTTTCTTTATTTCCTACTGTAACGCGGTAGGAGAACTGATTTGGGTTGTTTTGCGTTTTATCGTAATTGTTGCGGATAGCAAGAGTCGCCACCGACTTTTCTTTTATCAAAAAGAAAAGGTTAAAAAGAACAGAAAAGACCTTTCGATGTTTACTTGAGTTCGGGAGATAGGTTATGAAAATGGAAGGTATTAGTACCATTTTCATCTGTAGTTATCTACGGGCTCTTAGTTGTTTGCTAGATCACTTGTTTTTGTTTGAAAATGTGTTTGTGGTATGGATTTTGAAAATATTTTGAAAATGTCTTTGTAATGGTTCTCGTCTCTATAAGAACGTGTACAAAGTGTTGTTTTGAAAATAGTTCAAAGAGATGTTTGTGGAAAATATTTTTGAAAGTGATTTTGAAAAGGTGTCTTTGTAATGCCTCTCGTTTCTATAAGAACGCGTACAAAGTGTTGTCTTTTGAAAATGTTTCAAAATGAGAGTGTTGGTGTATAAAATGTTTTTGTTATGAGCAAGCGAACAACTAGGAGCAACCTACCTACTCAAAAGGTCTTAAATGTTCTTTTCCTCCTCCTTTAGATGTTGATATCTTACCATTGATTTGGTAAGAAGCTCCATTGTTGGATGTGAAGGGACGGGCGTGGGACGTTTGTATAGTCATAGAAGGCAATCTATGGGACATTTTAGCAATGTCGTTTAGGGACTAGATCGTTTACCGAAGACAATATTGAGGGTCATCGAGGGACTATGATCTTTTATCGAGGTCTTTGTTAAAACGCCCATGTTCGAGAGACATGACTATTTTTCTGAGGCAACAAGTGGAATTATCCTAGGGGTGCATGTGTGAATAGTGTGTTTGATTTGCATGCATTTAGTCTTTGATTAGGGGTTGTCTACTTGTTGTTTTTATCTTGCCATACACACCCTATTTTACTAGCAATCATTCAAAAGTAATAAAATGCAGAAAGGTAAAATCCTACACTATTACAACCATATTAAATTGCATGAAAATATAAAGGCAAAAATAAAATAAAAGCAAGAAAAATGAGGATCTTTCGATTTAGGCAGAAAACCCTTTAATACTGCACTTTCTAGCTCTCATCGATTTGGCCTGAAAGGGGTGAAGGCATGACTTTCGACTGAGGCCTGCGGGTCAACATGTTGTGCCCTTCGATTGGGCATGGAACCAGCGCAAGATGTAACCTGTCTTTCTGTCTCCTTCGACTAGGGGTTGAAAACCGTGAGGGAGTGTCTTTCGTCTGGGCCTGGATTCAGTGTAGCCGTGCCTTTCGTCTGGGCCTGAAAGTCAGCATGGTGTACCCTCTGGCTACCTCTTTCGTTTGACCTGGAGGTCAGCGTGGAAGCCAAAGGCTTCGTTCCCAACTTCCTGTTTCCTGTTTTCTTTCGTTTGAGATGTTAAATAGTAATGTGGCCTAAGGCCATGCTAGCACTGCCTTAGGGCCAGGTTAGTTCTTAAAACATTTGTAAGAAACCAAAGAGCAAAACCAAAAGGAAAGGCAATAAAGCAAACTATAAGGGTGTAAACGAAAGGGGAACAAATGTTATGTATATGTTTGAAACGAAAAGGAATTTTATTTACATGTTGTGCTGTAAACGAAGGAATCAAGGTTAAGGATGACTTACCTTGCTGGAGGCTGGAGCATGCGCTGGATCTTGAAGTGGTTACCTTGAATGTCCCTGGATTCGAAGGGAAAGAGCGAAGACAATGTTTCTATTGCTTGATTCGAAGGAGAAAAACAAATGAGATGTCTTTTCTACTGGATCCGAAAGGGAATAAAATGTGTGGGACTTTTCAGATTCGAAAGAGGTAAATGTTAGATTCTGAGTTTTTGTTTTTACAAGTGTTTAAGTGTTTTAGAGTTTTATGGTGTTTGAGAAATTTGAAGATTCGTTCCTCTGGCCAAAAAGTCCTCCTCAATCATGTGTTGGGAGCCTCTTATTTATAGGCATGGTTGCCTGAAGCTTTTGGAGGGAAAACAAAAGGTTTGAACAATTTGAGTAACCTGCTCCTTGTAGCTTTCGAGAGACAGTGCCTTGTATGCTATTTTGGTGCAAGAATGGGGCAGTGTTTCAGGACTACCGTGCAGCAGTTCTGACCAGTGTACCAGGCCTGAACTTGGCAGCAAGCATATTTGAATATCATCCTTTCATTTTGACCCTTCTTCGACCAGACCTTTTTCCAAACAATATTATTTGATTTTCCTCCAACAAGTGCCTTTTGATTGAGTCACTTTTGTGCATCCTTCGAAGGAGCCAAAAGTGTGACCCTTGGATGGGTCACCAAAAACGTGCCTTAAAGTGGGCTTGTAAATCCTTCGAATGAGCCATCAAGCATGTCCTTCGAATGGGATGTCCAGAGTTAGATTCGAAAGATACTGATTCGAGAGGGACACAGTTATAAATAAAACCTTGTGAAGATAGTTCTGTCCAGTCGAAGGCTTGCATGCCAAAGGTCCAAGTGGCCAAACAAAAGAGTTTACATAGGGGGTCCCTGCTTTGTGACTTCATGCAAACATGCAAAATATCTTTGTTCAAACAAAAGCTTGCATGAAGGGAAACATATGCTCAAACGAAAGGTGTGATCAAATGCTTGTACTGAAGAATTCATGCGTCCAAACGAAGAAAGCATGAAGGGAGTCAAGTTCCAAAACGAAAGAGGTACACTAGGCTTGACAAGATGTCCAAACGAAAGGGAAATGCATGAGGCCAATTTGAGCAATCGAAGGATGCCAAAAGGGAACTTTTTCCTTGGAATTGAAGGAGGCTACAGGAGGCTTTGTGCCTTGTGAATCCAAGCCAGCATGCCAAAGATCCATGCCCAGTCGAAGGATGCAAGCCAAGCTTGCATCGAAAGAGGTCAAAAGGCCAATCGAAGGAGCTGAATCGAAAAACACTTGTTTTTTCTCCAAATTTGTCAAAATATTAATTTTATTTGTTTTCTCCCTTTTTGACAGTTTCCTTTTAAACTCGATACTGGAAAATCCCAATGTACATGTGCAAGCTTGAACCTTGAGAATCCTTGTGAGAAATACCTTGAAAAATGAGAGGGTAAATTTTGGAGTACAACAACTACCCCTGTTCAATCTTCTTAAACCTAAAGAGTTAGATTGGCGAGTCTGCCATTCGTGACTTGAAGGTAGAAGATGATTGAACACTAGAGTGCCCAAAAATTTGCACTTGATGATGTGGTGGTTGATTGTGTAGGGAATGGGCTTACAGATGCCATTTGGAGGGATGATGGAGATTTGTCGGAGATGAGCTTATAGATGCCATCCAAAGGTGATTGTTTACCGAAATTAGACTAAGTCTAAATTTGACTTCAACTGGAAAAGAATCAGAATAAATCTTTAGAGTGATTTATCTGAACCAGAGAAAATGTCTACGAGAAAGAATCAGGATAAACCATTGAGAGATTTAAACTGAACCAACAGAGGTCTGGAAAGAATCAGAACAAATCTTGGGGCGATTTATCTGAACCAGAGAAAATGTCTACGGGAAAGAATCAGGATAAACCATTGAGAGATTTAAACTGAAACAGCAGAGGTCTGGAAAGAATCAGAACAAATCTTGGGGCGATTTATCTGAACCAGAGAAAATGTCTACAGGAAAGAATCAGGATAAACCATTGAGAGATTTAAACTGAACCAGCAGAGGTCTGGAAAGAATCAGAACAAATCTTGGGGAGATTTATCTGAACCAGAGAAAATATCTACGGGAAAGAATCAGGATAAACCATTGAGAGATTTAAACTGAACTAGCAAAGGTATGGAAAGAATCAGAAAAAATCTTTGGGCGATTTATCTAAACCAGAGAAAATGTCTATGGGAAAGAATCGGGATAAACCATTGAGAGATTTAAACTGAACCAGCAGAGGTCTGGAAAGAATCAGAACAAATCTTGGGGAGATTTATCTGAACCAGAGAAAATGTCTACAGGAAAGAATCAGGATAAACCATTGAGAGATTTAAACTAAACCAGCAGAGGTCTGGAAATAATCATAACAAATCTTGGGGCAATTTATCTGAACCAGAGAAAATGTCTACGTGAAAGAATCAGGATAAATCATTGAGAGATTTAAACTGAACTAGCAGAGGTCTCGAAAGAATCATAACAAATCTTGGGGCAATTTATCTGAACCAGAGAAAATGTCTACGGGAAAGAATAATGATAAACCATTGAGAGATTTAAATTGAACCAGTAGAGGTCCGAATGGAGTCTTCGTCATGTAGATAGTCACCCCGTCCTGTTTCGGGAGTTGATCTATAATTGATTTGTTCACAGATAGTTGTCTTATCTTTGTTGAAAATTTGTTGATGATAATTTTCTGTTGATTGATCTTTGCTGAAAAGGTAAAGAATTAGTTATATGCAATATCATGATGTATGAAATGCATGGTGTAATGATGTTCTCAAAATAAATGAGATTATTCTGTATGCATTTATGCTGTATGCGCTTATCATGTATGTAATATGATGCATGAAATGTTGTTGGAATGTAATTTTGTCTTGGAAAATAAATCCTTGACAAGTGCTGCGGAGCTTTGGGAAGTTGATTCCCGGACTGTTGTTGGGGATGAAGAGTATGCACCTCTCAAGTCTTTGTTTTTAGAATGTTTTCGCTGGGGATTCCTGTTTTTGTTGTTTGAGGAGAAGTCCGCTGGAGAATGTTGATTTTGCTTAAGAAGAAAGCTCAGTGGAGAATGTTGATTTCCGCTTGGGGAAAGAGTCCAAGTGTCTTAGTTGTTCGTTGCCCTACTGGGGAGCTACTGGGGATTGTAGGCAAGTCTA